CTGTATATTACAAAACAACAGATACATATGATTACATTTTTCACTCAATCCAAACATACATTCATACAAGAAAGACATCGGCTGTAAATGAAGTGTTTAGCCGGCAGAAAACAGGGTAAGGGGAAGGGAAGGGGGAGAAGGAGGGAGAGGAAATAGACAGAAGAGAGAGGTATGATCCCTCTGAATGGCATACATATGGCTACAGTACCCTCTATGTTTGATTTTGGCATGCAGTTTTTATGCTGCAAGGCAGTAGTCCCCAAAGGGTCTAAAAGTAAACCTGAGTGTAGCGAACACCAATAATTGAGTGCCGCCATGAATAGCTAAGTGTAGTAGTGCCAAGTGGCTGTTAGTAGGAAGAGTTGTATCTACTTAATACTAATAAAACTGAATGCAATTGCAAATCTTAATACTACTTAACAGCTAGACAGACAATACGAAAAGGAAACAAACACAATGACAAACTACATAAGACAAACGAACCAACAGAGACAAACAGGCAAGACCACAATTTATTTATTTATTTTATTTTTTTAAACATTAACTTACTAACCTACCATAACCTAGGATGAACCTAACCAGAGGACTAAAGCTAACAAACCCTAATCTAATTTAACCTAACTTATCATATCCTAATTGGAAACCAACTCAATCCAAATGGTAAATATGGACATTTAACAGTATTTCTTGATAAAAGTCTAAATTTACTACTAATTTCTAAGAGTTACTGGACTTTGGACTTTTGCAGAACATATATATGTATTTGTACTTGTTTATTTACTTTGCATATGTATGTACAAATAAAAAATACATAAGGCTGAAATCATTATTTTTTAAAAATATTTTTGGAAGGAATTTCCATAATCTGAATTTTAAAAAGAAATATATTGGGATTTATAATTCAATATTACATTATAATTAGATAAACAGTAATAAAATCAATATTTAAATATATATAAAAAGCAATAAAATTTAACAAGAGAAGAAACTATAACTAAAAACCAAGTTTAAACAATGAAACATATCACTGATCCAAAATACATGGAAAATTTTGCAGTTGTTTATAACTGCAAAATTTCAATTTATTTAAAAAAAAATATTGCTGTCTAAGCAGTAATAAATATTTTTTGATAATCTGAAACCATGTTGTGACTCTTCTTTGATTCTTAAACACTATGTAGTGTGATAAATTCAAACACTTGGCATTCTATCATCTTTATTTAGTTCAGTTGATATGTGTTTAAAATACACATTTCGGACGTAACATGCCCCTCTTCAGTTAACTAAAAATATAACAAAAAATACATACAGTGCATAAAAGGTTAAAAAATACATATAAGTGGTANATAAATTCAAACACTTGGCATTCTATCATCTTTATTTAGTTCAGTTGATATGTGTTTAAAATACACATTTCGGACGTAACATGCCCCTCTTCAGTTAACTAAAAATATAACAAAAAATACATACAGTGCATAAAAGGTTAAAAAATACATATAAGTGGTAAAGATATTTTAGAACATACCTCAGAATTATTTATAAACTGGGTATCACGGATGAATACATATTTATACAGCTTACACATTTATTGTCTGTCTATTTAAATATTATAAGTAGAACATTTAAGCTGTATAAACATGTATTCATCCATGATACCCTGTTTATAAATAATCCCGAGGTATGTTCTAAAATATCTTTACTACTTATATGTATTTTTTAACCTTTTACATACTGTTTGTATTTTTTGTTATATTTTTAGTTGGCTGAAGAGGGGCATGTTACATCCAAAACGTGTATTTTAAACACGTATCAACTGCACTAAATAAAGATGATAGAACACCAAGTGTTTGAATTTATTACAGTACATAGTGTTTAAGAATCATAGTAATAAATATCATATTAAAACAATTTTTGTTCTACTTAATGCAGGTTTTTTTTAATCAATGTTTACCTTTTCTTTTGGTAAATTTATTTGCTTTTATAAATATTTAGATGTTGATTTAAAGTCTTCTGTTTAATTGCAATATATTATTAAAATCTAGAGCATAATGTTTTTATTTAAAAAAATATAAATGGAAATTCCACTTGAAAATATTTAAAAATTCAAGTTCTGATTTCTAGATTGAACATAGTTATTTCTTTTTGAAAATAAATAAAGAATTTGATTTCATAAAGAGATGAGTGAGAATACAAGAATGTCAGCAACATACTGCTTATGAAAGAATTAATTTTATGATAATTTTTATATATCAGCTACTATATTTGCATACCACATGGACTGTAAACAAAAAGAACTGTAATGTTTTCAATCTAGTCCATAAAACATTTTCAGGATTTGGCTTCTTAAACTGAAATCACTTCAATGATATAAAATCAAAATCTCTGACAAGAGGCAATTGTGTAACCATAAATCTATAGATATACATTTTCCAATCATTTGAACAATTACCTCTACAAGTATCCTACTATCAATGATTCTAATGAAACATTATTTTAGAAAAGAAAATTTATCAATAAATCTCTAAAACAATTATCTCATTAATTTAATTTGAAGACAACATTAGAAAAATTTTGGACTTTTAGATAGTTATAGTTGGGCTTATGGTTTCTAATATAGCTTATTTATTTCAATCTATCAAGATAAATTAGGCAAATTAGTTATAACAAACAAAATTTTGAACAGTTTTTATTCTGTATAATTTAAACTTCAGGATATATAGGCATTTTATCTATTACTGTACGGAGACTACAGAATATTAGAAAGAAATATTAATTTTCTATCCATATCCTTACTGTTAACTTAAAACAACTTTTTAAACATTCTAAAAAAAAAAATACTTTAAAAATTGCATTAATCATTTTATTCTCTAACATTTTTAGCCATACTTAACCAACCTTCTCAGGTTAAATATAGCTGAAAACATTAAAGTGATTAATGCAATTTTTATGATACTTTTGGAGTGTTTTACTATTTTGCATTGCATTTCTCAGTAGTTTTTAAACATTCACTCTCTTTTTTTGTTTTTGACTCTCCACACTGCAGGCACTAAGAGGACCCATATAAAAACCAATTCTTTGCAAATGACTGAATAAAAATAAATTTTTACCAATAATACTGTTTAAAAACTTTATATATATGTATAATCAGGGCTGTGGAGTCGGAGTCGGAGTCGTGGAGTTTTGATGTTTTAGCCGGAGTCGGTAGATTTTTACGCGACTACCACAGCCCTGGCAGGGCTGTTGAGTCGGAGTCGGAGTTGTGGAGTTTTGGTGTTTTAGCCGGAGTCGGAGTCGGATGATAAGGAAAAGTCGGAGTCGGTAGATTTTTACACGACTCCACAGCCCTGTGTATAATTATTAATGTATGTATCTATAATGTATTTTAAGTCCAATAAAACTGAATAAAGCAGTTAAAAATTAATCATATTTTATCAAAATAAAACTTTAAAGTAATTCTGACTTTTTTCCAAAAATATATTTTTGTTTTATTTTACTGAATTTAATGTTTCTATCCCCAAAGATGAATTTTAAAACTTAAAAGCATTAGGCTGAAGAGTACAAATTTATTTATTTATTTATTAGAAGTACCAATAAACCAGTTTCATTCATTAGTAAGTTTAAATTTTGACAATATCTTATTATTACCATACAATTAAATTAAAATATTAAACATTACAAAATTAAATTGTAAAACCTTTCCATGGTACAATTACACTCTGAATGAAATAGTTGGGACCTTAACACAGCTGTAAACCGTACAGTTAAGAGCAAAATGTCAAAAGAATCATAACTCTACTTGTGATCCTTGGCCAGATAGCCTCCTCAAAATCAGCCTACGGTACTTCCAGGTTGCACACAATCGGGAGTCACGTTGCTCTGCTAAGACTATCACATTTAACTACTTAGTCCAGATGGCTACGCTAGCTTTGAGTAGACAACTTGACTGTTCATGGAGTACTTGACAATATAGTTTTAAGGAGATATGGGGCTTGCCCCACGTAGGTGCCCAAGTGTGGGCAACAGCAAGCATCAAAGCACACGACACGTCAAGCGTCAGTCAAGGCTTGCCGTTACTCTCCTTGACTATTGCAAAGCATAGAGAATAGGCAGTATACTGGTTCATGGTAAAAATTGACCTTTGGAGGCAAATATATCATAAAGGATCACATGTACAAGTATGTTTCCATTGCTTGTATGGTGGCCTATAATTCTGGGGGTGGCAAATACCTCATTCATAGTTCACTCTTTCCATGACTTGTATTACTTCTTATATAAAAATTTAAACTTTACAAAAGATAAAAGTCATGCAAACGTTATGAGAATAAATTGGGAATTTACATGAATGGCTTATTTTTGTATAGAATAAGCAATAATGATTTCATAATATTGAATAACACGTTAGAAATTACGTCAGACAACAAACCCACGTGTAAATTCATCACGAGATCGAAGTAAACTGTACATTATTAATACTGCAAGAAAAAAAATTACATAATTGGAAATTAATGAAATTTAAATATTAACACATCTTAATTTGAAATCATTTTTATAATTTATTTTAAATAAGCAACCATTTTTAAAAAAAGAAAAAAAAATCACCACGCAATAAACATAATATACATGCGCGGGTTGTAACGAGAATATTACTCCGCAATAGAATATAAAGCATTATAATATAGAAAGAGATTGCATTAATATTGAAAATTCGTTGAAATTTAAGGATTAAAAAATAAATTTTGTGATAAAATAAGTAAATTTGGTTATATTTTTGTCTAAAAAACATTAAAATATTTAAATTAGCGTAGAATGGTGTATGAATGTTATCAGCCGACAACACGTACTATAATTTACTATCGTTTGCTACCATTTTAAACTCATAAATAAGATTTTAATATAATTTTAAACGTTTTTACTGAATAAAACCGTTGAAAAGTAACTAAATTGATCGTTTATAATCGTATTTATTCGTTTAAATATGTAAAATTCCGTATAAAACTCACCCCTGGACAAATTTGACGACCGACAATTTTATATCCAAAACTACCATAGACAGCGGATATAATTGTAGAATATTATTTTATGTAAAATTCTTCAAAAGTGTAAAATTTGTGTTAAATAAATTCGATTTTATTATATTATTAATGAAAATTTATAAATATATATTTTAATTTATGTTTTTAAATATATTTAATGTTGAAATAATTATTTAATAGAGTGGTTGCGGCCGACGTTTTCATCGCGAAAACGTGTACGTCAGACGTTCAGCGCTACCTTTCTGTAAGCCTAGAAGTTTGACAATGGCGTTTGGAACGTCGGCCGCAACCTCTCTAATATTTACTAACGTCACGTATGAGATTACCGGTGTCATTTGTAATATACGGACCTCGTATACCACTGTGCTTTTTATTTATTCGTGTTTTCATATTAAAATATATTTTGTTTTTGATTATTGATCTATTTATAACATGCAATTAAGCGTTTAAAGTTTTACTCTATGGAAATTAACTTTATCGTGCGTCCCGTTCTAGTTTAGAATTTAAGTAAATAATAATAAATATCTTCTAAAATTATTTCAAAATTTATAATTGTAGTTTGAATTAAACATAATGTTTTTCTATGTTTTTAAAAAATGAGGGCCTCTTTCAGCCCTCAGCAACGCAATACGTAGGCAATCTGCCAAGGGAATATTTTTTGAGGGAACTTTTTGTGGAAAACAGGCCTCTATTCAGATGTTAGACATATAAAGAAAACCAAAAAATTCGCGAGATGTGAACCCACCATTCGCGAGATGTGAACCCACCATCAGCATTGAATGGTTTTATGCATTCGGTCTCTAGTAAACATATTCTTGATATTAATTAAGAAAAGTGGCTCAGCTTATCCATTACAAATAGCATTTGAAAAATTTCTTACACTTTTGATTGGATGGTTGTATTTAATTATGGCAATGCGACACATGGGCGATCTGCAGAGGGGAATGCCTCCCGGGAACTCTTTTATGGGAAATTGGCCCCTATTTAGGTGTTACTAACGTGAAGAAAACCCGAAAAGCTCTACGAAAAGCTTGATGTGAATGTGAATATATGACCAACTACTAGTGTTCAGTGGTTTTATCCACTCGGCCACTGGTGTGTTCCTCACGCTCCTAATCTGAACTGAAACCTGAATCTTCCTGCCTTTACTGCAGCAACTATGCAGACGTCAGCTACCGCTCTGGGGATTTGTTCTATTTTAGGTCGATTCAGAAGTCCACAGGAAAACGAAGATCATAATTCTAAAGGGACAACACAAAACTTTAAAAATTTCACGTTGCGGTAACTTTTTGTTGACCCGAAGATCCGACATCTTCGGGTCCATCACTACTCGATTACGTCATTGTTTGCCTTCGAACTCGTGAAAAAAGAATTTTTAGTGACCATAGATAGAAATAATCGGAAAAGAAAAATATTGTATCTTTAAAAGAAAGTTTGCTAGCTTATTCTTTATATTGATACATTTCACGACACGGTTTGGGCAAATGCAATGAAATTTTTCGTGGACTATTCTTTCACCCAGGAGAAAGTCAAGGACTACTTTCGGTCAAATTAAACTTCAAAATCCTGCCCACAACAGGTCCCCTTTCTATCTGACCAGAGGGACGGTGGCATTTGAATAGAAAAATTACTTACACTATCGAGCACCAAATATATTTTTAGGGCTTTTCGAGGGCACCGATGTTTAAATATTTAGTCTATTTTTTGAATGGTTGGCCGATTACCATTTCATATTCCGCTGTAAATGATATGTTGGAGTTAATACTAAAAAAATTTGGATGTTTTGAATTATCTTCTCATGCAGGCGGAAATCGGCGAGACTTTTCTATCGAAAAATATTACTTCTTATCTACCTGACAAAAGAAATTGAGCCATTTCATACCATCCGAGTATCGTGATAAGCATGGTAATGGTAGATTAAAATAACCAAACTCTTAATTAATATGGTTTTCATTTTAATTTTTGTTGTTCTTACTTTTTGTGTTGATTGACTTCTTGACGAAGCCTCACAAGCTATTGTCTGGTGTCATAAGGCCGGGACTCTGATGACCATGGGAAATATTCCGGAACTGCTTCGGAATCATGGTCAGTCCAACTATTTGGAAATAATGACATTTTCTTTTGTTGGTGGAGGCAGGGATAGCATACACCGTTGTCTTTCAACATTCATTTTACATTAAGTGTCTGTAGATGCTTGGATGAGCTGTTTCTGAAGAAAGTCAATCAACAGTTATATCAGCCAACAAGAGTTGAAGAGTTCAATGATAGAAGTATTTTCTCTTCTAATACCAAATTATCTTTTTAAAACATTTCGGAAAATTCGGCGCCGCATCAGACTCTGTGGACCCGGGATCGAATCCGGAGGAGTGAAAAACTCCCCAGAAATTTTTCGGGGAGTGGTCCGTCCGGATATGTCGGGCCACATCCCTAACCACCCGGCTTCCCCATTGTGGGCCGAACCCATAAAGGACTTGCTGAAGAGGCCCTCTTAGTGCCTACAGGCGGAAAGAGTTTTTTTTTTTTTTTTTTTTTTTTTTTTTTTAAAAAGCTATTTTAAACGTAATCTTGAAATCAAATAAAGTTTGAAAATCTGCAATTAATTAATCCTCTTTATTCTTCTCCTTCCTTTTCCTTCAGAAATCAATTTTAGAAATAAGACATATAATCTGAGTAACCAATACACTGCTTTTCTCATTTTAAAATGACACTATAAAACGTTTTCAACTACCAATAATCATGTCCCAATTAAAATACTGCTTTCCGTGCAAAGCTGACACAATAAAAATGAATATTCATATAAAATAGTTAGCAATGCTAAGATTGTCGTGCTTTTTTTATATAGATTTAGATCAGGGCCAGCTCTAGGCTTAGAGCTCTAGCTCTAGGCACAAGAGGCAATGGCTTTGGGGCACCAACATCGTAAAAAAAGTAATAATATTAAAGAAATTATAAGTGTTAATGGAAAAAAAATATTCTATTACGACAGACCCCTTTTGTAAAATTTAAAGCTAAAAACATAAAAAAAAGAAAAATGATCGGGCGCTGAAAAACAAACTGGCATAGGGACGGCACACATCTTCGAAACGACCCTGATTCAGTTCATCCCTTGCGGCTGATAGCACGCTTCATCTTTTTTAAGGATCGTCAAAAAACGCAAATCTTTCTGAAGAAACATGAATCTAATACGGAAACAACCGCAGGAATTTTCAAGTAAAGTTTGTTCCAAATATTTAGGACCCCTCCTCTCTCCAACCGGTAACTTCCAGTGTAAAACTGATCAAAAACTTGATGTTTTTAAAACCTTTTTCATATTCTGGGCACTAAGAAGGTCTTTTCAGTAAGCCCTTTATGGGTTCAGTAAGGCCCACAATGGAGCGGCTAGATGGTGAGGGACAGGGCTCAGACCCTTTCAGATTAAATCCCGAACTGTCAGATTGGTAGGTAGCCACCTTAACCAGTCGGCCATAAAAATAGATTTTCTTAATTAATAGTAAAGAGCAAAGAAAAATGAAAAATGCATCAAATATTTATTACTAATAATTTTTAAAATTTTATATTAATTAAACATTATTTCAATAATAAATAAAAATCAATTTATAAGAATATAATTTACCCTCCAGGTGGCAGCAAGTAAAATTTTCAATCAAAGTGGAGTTATGAATCGTCTGGTCATTTGGCAATCAAAATAGTAAGTTGGAATATTTTTGTTATCAATTAAAAAATATTAAATGAAATGAAATTTTCGCGTTAAGTAATTATAAATGAACAAAATTGTTTAATTAGTTATCAAATATTTAAAACAGGAATTTAATTAAAGTCAATAATTCTGTAAAATATTCATAAACATGTCTGATTGATAGGAGTCTGGGAGTCTGTAATGAGGTTCCATGCAAATACATTATACAATGATATAATACATATACATATGAAATATTTAATAAAAATGATTTACATAAGCTACCTGTTTACATAACTGAATAAATGTAATAACGGATTATATATTAAGGGTGTGGTTTGATTTCATATTCAACACTGAAATGGGACATTCAGACTTTTTTTTTTTTAAAATTGAAACAAATAATTCAAAGTTTTTTAAATAAATCTTTCCTAATTCTATGAGAATTGTGTTAAGAAAAATTATAAAAAGTTGAAAAATGTATGAAAATCTTTTAAAAGAGTAAGGATTTTATAACTGTTTAAAAAATTAACAAAAAGCTTTAATTTTTTACATATTTTCTTGACTTGCTAAAATAAAGTTGTAAAAGTTGAAAAATTCGAGAATATTTTTGTGAAAATAAAGGTTTTACCGATTAAAGCTTAAGAAAAAATATTGTTTTAATGGATTTTTATTGATTACTCTTGAAGTAACGATGATTAGGAAGTTAAGGTGCCGACCTGCTGCTTTTGGGGGATCAAGGAACCAATTAGGTTGAGAAACTCTGGAAATTATTTGGTGGTGGTGGGTTGGGCACCGTTCCTGGTTGCTTGGCTGCCGTTGTTGTGGACCTGGCCAGACTTGTGATGGGTTTGGAAGAAAGGTCTTCGTATTGTTTTTAAAGGAAATAGTTAAAATGAAAACCTTTTGAAATAATGAAAGAATTGTTTAAAAATGGAAATTATTTTTAAAAATTTCTTAAATCTGAATGAAACTGAGATAAAAATTAAAAAATAAATTGAAACAGAGTTTGAAATGCGTGAATGATTTAGAAATATAGCCTTATTTTTATTAATATTTAAGTATCAAAATCATTCTTGCTTCACTTTCATAAGGAAAAAGAATTAAATGTATCACAAATTTATAAAGTGTTGTGAATTGCTATTAAATTTTAAACAACTCAGAAATATCTAGAAAATAACTTTAATTGAAACATAATTTCTAATAATTTAAATGCCATTAACAGTTCTATTCACAGTAGTAAAGAGAATCAAAAGTTAACTAATAAATGTTCATATATTTTAAATTAACTTCTGATTCTTGGCCCACCAATGGCTGGTGGATAAAACTACTGAATATCAGTAGTTGGTTGTGGTCACAAAAATCTAAAGCTGGAACTGCCATATATTGATCGATTCACAATTCCTCAGACTGGAGTTGAGGGGTAGTTCAAACCTCTTAGAGAATCATCTTAAATAAATCTCCAGTAAATTATCACCTTTAGAACGACTAATATTTTCACTTCTCCATCTGGATCTTCATTACGTCACCTGTTCTAAAGGTGAAAATTTACTAGATATTTATTTAAGAAGATTCTCTAAGAGGTTTTGAACATACCATATATTAACAAGAAAAAATTGTACACACTTTTCCAGCATGATAATATTTAATTCAAACAACAACTGTTTGTGTGAGTTTGCATTTCACCAATGAGCTAGCCATGTGGAGTTTTCTGGTTTGTCTTCATGTGTCTGACAGCTAAATAGTGATCAGTTTCTTATAAAAAGTTCTAGAGACAATCCTCTTGGCAGATCATCTCTTGTTGTGTTATAGTATCCCATCAAACCAAGCTAAATCCAATAATTCTTGATCCTGAACTGTCAGTAAGGACATAGATTAATCTGAAGGATAAAGTTCCTTCCCAGTGCTTTAAGTAAAAATAATTTAATTTCTTAAACAAGATAGTTTTACTTTTGTATTTGAGAAAAATAAAAAACATTAAATTGTTTAAAAATATACAGTAATTTAAATATTACATTTAATTCTTGTAAAATATTACTGTAATTCTTACAGTACTTCATTTATAAATAATTCATTATCACATATCAAGATATACAAGTTTTATTTGACACAGTTTTATTTTATTTAGTAATTTATATCAAGTACAGGTTAATTTATATTTATAAAAAGTTTAATTTCTTAATAAATATTTCTACTATTAATTTGTTATTTAAAAAAAATTTAAATATTTGAAATTTAAACAGAAGTTAAAAATATCAATTAACGTATTGAGAATAATAAGAATAATGTTACTTTAAAACATGAATATAACTACATTTTTATTCAAAAATATTGAGTAACTTTATAATGAATATAGGCTAATTTATACCATAGGTTAATAAAGTAAAAATATGAAATTTTTTTCATATAGATTCAAAAATAAATGTATTTTGAATTTACATGTATCATTTAAAATTTTTATTTATTTGTTAATTTTTATGGCTAAGATAATTAAAAAATTTTTCTTTAATCTACAGTTTTTCAATTATTAAACTACAGTTTTTTCAGTTGAACTTATACAAGAACTTTCAACTCAAAATATGCTATAAGTAATTTAAATCTTGATTAAATTTCAGAAGCAAGAGGGAAATAATTGTAGCACTTCCAGTTTACTAGAGTACGATGTTAGATTGTTACGAATGACAGAATTTAGATCACATGTCAACTGTCAAAGAAAATTGTATATAATAAAATTAGTTAAATTCTATATAAAAATAATTTTTGTTTTATTTTGAATCAGTATCTATATTTTTTGATGTTTTGATAAATAGAGGAAATATATTTAAAATATAAATAAAGGGTAGACAATGACCTAGTTCTTGTGTTACAGTACTTGTCATTCTACTAATCTGAATACAAAAAGTTGAAGTAATAACCTGAATATTATATTGGTTATATTTATTGCAAGTATTCCGGATTGTATCTTTCTCAAAGTTGTATTCATCATCAGTGGTTGGAAATTAAGAAGTTAACATGGTTAGTGAATTTGGATACAAGAATTAATTAGTGCATAAATGAATTCAATGATTAATTTTTATCATCAAATTATTGTTTTCTAGAGTTATTAACTTAAAGAACTTCAGACTGCTTTTTTATATTTATTTAGTGCATTAGTTAATTCTTTTTTAATATTAAATAATAATAATAATTCATATATTCATATATTAAATAATAATAATAATTTATGCTATAGAATACAAGTGATGACTTGTATTCTATAGCATTTGATCACTGCAATACTTTAAATTTATTTTTCCATCAGTAAATCAGTGAGTACTAGAATCTTCTTTAGTACTTGCTTCATCTATTGCTGGAATGATTCACTTCATTTTCAGTGAGTATTTATGGTGCAGGTTTTGGTGAGTAGAGTGATTCAGGGGAGTAAAAATGTCTGGTGTATGCAGCTAGCATAAAATGCCATTTTTCTTTAACTGATGGTTGAAACACTATTGGGTCTATAAGCTTGTTCTTAATTTATTTATGTTACAAACCTTTGTAATTAATAATGTATAACTGTAATTTATAAAATTATCTGTAGATAAGAGCTTTTATTATAACTGATAATTCTTTTGTCTAAACTTAAAATATAAAGGATGAGTTAATTTTTATTTTAGAGGTTGAAAACATTAGAAATATTTTCAAAAATAATGTTTTAAAAATATTAAATAATGTTTATAATTTGTAAAAAAGTTTACATTATTTAATATTGTTTTCTCAATGTATATATAAGGAAAATACAGATATTGTTTTGCATAGTAATTGCATCTAAATGTAAGTTGTAAATAAAAAAAAATTAACAGTTATTGTGCAAAATTACTGCATATTAAAAATAGTTACAGTAAATTTTTTATATACAGTATTTTAAGTAGTAGCTATTTAAATGTTTGAGTTTGTTATTGACATTATATAGTATTGTATGTTGTATTGAAACAGACTTGTATTTTAGCAAGAGTCGTTATTGAAATTTGATAGATGTTATAAGTATGCATATGTATAATATTAATGTTTTATGGATGGATAGTCATTGTGTTAAAAGCATCAGTCTGCTGCTGTGAAAAACTCATTTCATACCAAGGTTGGAAAAGTGGAAATTTCATGGATATGTCAGTTTGTTTCTCATCAATAGGGTATTGTGTTCTACATCTGACTAAATCTGCAATGGACATGAAAGATCTTAGTGTGTGTAGTGTGGAAAGAGTTTAAAATATATATATATAAAATATGTAAAATTAACAAAAATTAATATAGTCTCTCTGAAAATTATTTTTAAAGGAACACAATAGATATTATAATATGATATAATGACAAAATTTTATATTTTAGAATTATTTTTATTTATTTGAAAGCATGAATACTACTGTATATGCATTTTATTATTAATTTTTTTTTAATGTTTTGATTACAGATTAACAAAAAATTTGAATACATTTGTTAATAATTAATAAAAAGCAAGAGCTATTATTTAATGTTAAAGTTTTATAGATTTTTATGTAAACAACATATCAATTAATTAAAGCAGGAAAATTTTATAAAGCTGTAAATTCTTAACAAATGATATAAAATTTAAATTTCTTGTTAAAAATTCAATATTGAATTGGCAGTTTGAAAAATGTAATATTTAAAGATGGTATTTGTAGTTACGTAACTGGTGTGATGAGTAAAACAACTGTAATGTGACATCTGTTTTGTGTGAATGTCATACGTGATATTGATATTATGTATTCCAAGATGTATTTTTAGTTTAATAATAATATAAAAAATGAAACAGATATTCAGGATATTTAATTACATAGTTTGGTATTAAAAAACAATTACAAAAGTTATTTGGAAACTAAATTTTTGTTTTTATATCTAAAAGTTTTTTGCTATCATTTCTTTACAAAAATATGAATATAATCAGATATCTCTTTTGATAATACTCTGTAGGTGTATATATATATGTATAAATATATACAGTGTGTACATAAACTTAA